TTGTGGGTTCTTTGTACTGCGTTCGAGTATTAAGACGAGATGGACTCCTGCTTCGGGCACGAAATTTATTACGTGGGCCCTGATTTGATCGATTGTATCTCTGTGAAGCATTAAGACTTGTAGAGAGTTCAGATACTTTTTTGGTCAATTCAGCCACTTTTTTGTCCGAGGGATGAACTGGAAGGTGCAGCATTAGCAGCACTGACATAAGCTGGAGTAACAAGTTCATTAATTTTGTCAGCCATTGCTGCTAAACGGGTTAGATCTTCATTGGAAGCAGCAAGAATTATTTGTATGTTATTAGGGAGACGCGAAAGCCATAGTGACTTCAACAAGTCGTCACTAAAATGGCTTCCTGCCAGATCACGCATTCGTGACAGCAAGTATGAAGGTCGCTGATCTCCAAGTTCAAGTCCTTGTAGTAAAGTACGTATTTTTGAAGATTCACTTTCTGAATAGATTTCAATGAGCCGCTGTTTCAGTTTGGAGTATTTATCACAATCAGGTGGTTTGAGAATTAAGTCATGCGCTGAATTCAGAATATCAGACTCAATTGCTGCAACTACGTGGTTGAATTTTGTAGAATCCTCACTAATGCGAGCGATAGAAAATTGTGCTTCGATCTGAGCGAACCACAATGAAGGATTATTTTTCCAGAAAGGCGGTGGCTTCACCGCAACGCGTGTGATTTGTGGCTCTGGTGGAATATCGTCGGGCATACTGATAGATAATTTTCACTTTAAATAATAACACTTAACAGCACAAAATATTGTAGCATGAAGATACACTATTGATATTTTACCATGATAACAATAAATATTTTAACCATGCATAAAAAATTTACGTAATGATACACACACAAATAATACAGGGTCAGCAATTACACACACAAATAATATTTTACCGAAATGCATTTGAAAAAAATCCCTTATTTGAGAAAAAAAATGATGCGTTCATTTTGTATTGCGCACGCACAAAATCACCACTTCACACTGCTAAGGCACTTTCGAAGGAAAAAGGAAATCACTCCTGTAGCACATGGGAAAACAATTCACTACTTTCGAACACTGAGAAAAGAATTTTGCCGTAGCACGTTGCACAAAAGTTACTGATGTGGCACATTTAGCGAAAATCACTGTTGTAGCACATTTGTCACAAAAGTTGAATGATCGAAGAATTATTGCACGACTGGCGAAGTCAGCGGAACGGAACAGATCACATTGATGATTTGCTGAAGCTCCTTGCGATGATATGCACGACTTTGAAAAAAACACAAGCAATATATATCAATAGCTTGAACCCAATTGAAGGGGTACTTTGTAGCATACGTTTAATGTCCATATTCGTTGTTATTTTTAGTCAGTTCTTCAGAATGCCTTGGATGCACGTGGCTTAGGGTCGTTGAAAATCCATTCTCAGTAGCGTGCTCAGTCAAAAGGTCACCACTTTTGGTGGTCGTGTGTGCTTAATGCATGATATAATTAAAGAAAATAAGAGTAGACAATCTCCTATAACAAAAGAATATATTAAGTACTAAATTATTTAAATTACATTGCAGAGATCAACACAGAGCTCGGAACACAGTTCATGCTACCTTCGCGTACAGTTGTGTGTGGAGAAGTCTGAGTGAGTAAAGATATCGCTTTGCTGCTCCGATTAAGAACTGGATTTTACACGTGGCGCCATCTCATGAATAGAAGTTGAAGTATCTGTCGGAACGCCACATGTTTGTTAAATTAATCATTTTGATGCTTTTAGGATTTAAATTAAACCCTACGTCTTCAAAGAGTAATTCAAACGTAAATTAGCCCTGAAAAACTTTTCAAATTCAGTATCAATTTGTGTCTGAATTTTGCGCAATTTTAAAATTTGCTTTAATATGCTGCTCTACATCTATTTATAGATCGTAGTAAAATGTCGTATATTAAGCAAACTACACTTAGATCTGAGTGGAAACAGGATGATTTTGGATAATAAATTTTCATCATATTAAAGAAGACCGTTTCAATAAAACTATTTATTAGAGAGCATTACATTATTTATGTTGATTTAATAGCAATTTATTTCCACGCATTAGATATTCCGGTATTATATTCTTAAACTAAACCACAGCGAAAAAAATGTAATACCCGTAGTTATTAGGTTTCCCATTATAATCCACATTTAATGAATTTTTTATTTAGTATTTGGTACTTTCTGATTATCCGCCTACTCATGAAAAGTAGCCAATTCATTTGTCGATTTTGTGAATTAGCTAAAAATGTTTGCTTGGCTGACAGCTCATAGGTACTATTCCATTCTTAAAACAATAGCTAAAAGAAGCATTTTAAAAGAAGCAAGAAATTTTATGAGAAAGGGGAAAAAATGTATATGGCATTGATGCTTACCTCGGTGATATAACGGTTAAATGTGAAATATAAATCCTCAAGAGTTCAAACATGTGTGAGTTATGCACCTTCGTTGGCTGTCATCTGTTGGCTTACTTTCGGAAATACGCCAAAAATATTACTGTTTTGTTACCGAATATTGATGTTGGAGTAGCAAATAATCAGAAAATACCAACAGGTTTAACATTCGATTATTACTAACTTATAACTGAAAGGACAGATCTTTTGCACTTACAATCTGTTTCGAGGAATGTTATGCTTAGGAAACGTATGTTTTTGTCTATGGCCAAAGAAAGAAGCAGACTGTATAAAAGGTGCAGATTTAGAATATTCGAATAACAGAGGAGAAGGCAAAGTAGGATAAGTAAATAAATATAGAAATAGACATTACGAGAAGTCTTGGAAATCCTATAACCAAATTATCGAATCCTAAGAGAAAAACGATCGAGAGATTTTGAAAAATTTCGCAACTTTCAGAAATACACATATAAATCCTTTCACTTTCAAATTCTAAAAATCAAAAGTATGAATGTGTTTAGAGCAAAAGATTCATTGGCAGAACATATTTGCAACATAATAGGTTTAAGAGATAAAAAAAAATACATATTATGATAATGACAATCACACATAACCTCATTTAGCATGTTATCGGACACGGGTTGAACTTTCGACTGTAAACACTTGGGGAAAAAATTCAAATATTGAAAAAATTTAAATGAATTATTTGTAACCCACTTTTTAGCCCTTATAGTCATTTTATCGCGTTAATTGTTTGGTATGGAAAAAAACTGTTTTACTACTATGCAAATATGCTGATTAGATATTCAGTGCCCCAAATTTAATATTAATCAAATCTACGCACTTAAGTTGACAGTCAGTATTGTTTAAAAGTGTTATCCTTTTTCTAAAGAAAGAACACTAGTGTGAATAACAATAGTTGGTTAATAATAGAATTTTTAAATGTTCTGTTGATTTCTTATGGAAATGAATTCAGAATATTCTCCTTCCAATAGCACCAAGTCTCCGTATAAAAATGGATAAAAACATAGAAAACGGATAAGACTCCTCTTTTAATTCTCACTGGCGGAACAGGCTGGTTTTATGAATGTTTTCTTGCGTTTCTCGCATATATAACTTCAAAATAGACAGTGCCGCTGAGAAATTTCTCCGGGAAGGCTTTGCCCACTATCAGGCAAAAATATTTGAAGTACTTACCTCATAATTTATCAAAAGCTCAATCACCAAAAAATGAAGAAAAGTCAGCCTCAGGTCGAAATGTTTATTCCTTATTTCTTATATCCCTATTGAAATATGTCTGTAAAGTATTTGAAATCAAAGCCAAAATAAGTCTCAATTTTATTTGTTTTTAAAGAACACTATATTTATATTTTATTGCATTACTATGTTAAGTAATAAAATTTCAGTTTAATACACAATGAAACTTTAAGTCAAACTAAAAAATTTTGTAGATAATTTGTAGAAATAATTCTCATTAAAAATTAACATATACACAATGTAAAACAATATCTCTTATACACATAATATATAACAATTTTCATTCAGGCATAGGTAAAACAAAGATTTTGGAAATACATCTTTTGAATACACCTGCTTTAGTTTTAATTTTAACAACCCGAATTTTTTTATCACCACCATAATACACATCAATTATTCGACCTACAACCCATTTGTGAGTTGGTGCATTATCCTCTACCAATAACACTAAGTCTCCTATGTGAATATTATCTTTTTCAAATCTTCATTTATTTCGTTGTTGCAGTACATTTAAGTAACTATGGTGCCATTTTTTCCAAATCAACTGCACGATTCTTTTTATTCTCTGTCATTTCTTATGTCGATTTTCATTTAAATTGGTTAAATCAGGCTCAATAACTGAATTTATTGATCTATTTATCAAAACATGCACAGGAGTTAAAACTCCAAAATCATCTTCGTTAGCTGTTAACGGGCATAGAGGTCTTGAATTTAAAATTCCCCCAATCTGTATGATTACTCTTAAAAACTCCTCATATGCTAAATTTGCGCTGCCTACAGCTCTTTTAAAATGGTATTTAAATGACTTAATTGCAGCTTCCCAAAGGCCTCCGAAATTGGGTGCCCCGGGTGGTATGAATTTCTATCCAATATTCTTGGCAGACAAATAATTAGCTAAAGTTTCATCTGGGATTTTAATTAGATTACGAAGTCTTTTTTTATTTCTTTGTTGGCACCAGCGAAATTTGTGGCATTGTCCAAATATAATTTTGAGCATTTACCCCTACGAGATATAAATCTCTTTAACGCAGCTATAAAGGCACTTCGGAAGTTAGATCCGTCACCATTTCGATATGCACTGCCTTTGACACAAAACATACAAATATGCAAACATAAATTTTATGTAAAATTCCTTTTCTTTGGTTACGATATCTTATAAAAAATGGACCATAGAAGTCCACTCCACTCCAGTACAATTAAAAGGATAATCTGGTAAAAGATTTTCCATTATTTGTTTACACACAACTGGCTTGTTTTTAAAACATACAATACAATCATGTACAACTTTACGACAAATAGATCGACCATTTAATGGCCAGAACTTTTCGCGCACATGACTCAATAATGGGTTGCACCCACATGCAAAAATCTTTTGTGACAATGTTCAATAACTAATAAAGTAAATTTGTGAACTTTAGGTAATATTGCCGGATGTTTAGCAAAATAAGTAAGATTTGTCTTACCTAAACGGCCTCCTACTCTGAGAACTAAATCAGAATCCAGGAAGGGATTCAGATTCTTTAACTTACTTTTATGTAAGACAGTTCCGTGCCTTATTAAATGGCGGATATCTTCGCCAAAGCATTCACTTTGAGTTACTCTTATCAGGAACAATTCTTCTTTGGTTATTTCCTGCACACTAATTGGTCCTGACAATCTGTCTAAGGGCTTTCTCAAATTATTCACGAACCTGAAAATATAACTAACAACACGTAAAATAGTTAGATAATTATTAATCAATTTAAGTAAATTATGTAAAAAATTATTTACAGTCACATTCAACACTGGTAAAGTGTCTTTAGAGTCTTTATGGTATGGGGTTTTGAGTTCAGCACTGAACTCCTCACTTTTATCCGAGATAGTTACTGTCCGAGTTGGATAGTCTTTGTCCACCAGAAACGCTGGACCACACCACCACAATTTATGATGCATTAGCTTATCAGAATCTACACCCCGTGATAGGAGATTCGCCAGATTCTGATCCGATGCCGCATGATGCCACTGTTGAACAGAAGAAAGTTCTTGAATTTCGGCCACTCTATACTGAACAAACGTCTTAAGGTCCATAGGTTCCTTATGTATCCATACGAGAACTATCCATAAGTAGACTTGAGTCACTTCTAATGTCAAGGCAATAAGGACTTTTTTCACCAACTTTGATAATAAGACAGCTGCACATAGCTCAAGCCTGGGAATCGTTAGGCTTTTAAGAGGAGCAACTCTTGATATACTCGAGATTAATTTTACCAATGTTCTCCCAGAAGAATCGATGGACTTGCAATAAACTGCTGCTCCGAAACAACATTCAGAAGCGTCTGCAAAACCATGGATCTCAACTGTTTTTGCTTGATCAATCACTATACGTCTGTCAATATCGATACTGTTTATGCTCTCTAGTGTAATCAGAAATTGATGCCATTCCCGATTTTCAGCAATAGGAATTCTATCACTCCAATCAATTTTAAGACACCACAGCTTCTGCATGAAAATCTTTTCTTTGGCTATAACTGGACCAAGAATACCCAAAGGATCAAATATTCTGGCAATTGACGATAAGACACATCTCTTAGTATATGATACACTAGGCTCTACTTTAACTCTGAAGGAAAAGCAATCCTTTATTGGATTCCGTGACACGCCCAAGGTTTTCGTTTCAGTTGGATCTGGAGAAATTGTATTCTTCCCGGTTTAGAGAAAGTTCCGAATGATTTTCGCACCATTTATGCAACTGCATGCCTGCTCTTTGCAAAATCGATATAAGCTGCTGTTGTAACTCCTTAGGCCTCTTTTAACGTCGGAGCTCCGCATAACACGCATCATCCATATAGAAATTTTCACGTAACACAGGTGCTGCCAAAGGAAAATTACGCTCTTCGTCTAACGAAAGCTGTTTCAATGTCCTCACTGCTAAGAAGGGAGCACTGACCGTACCATACGTAACGGTTACCAGTTCATAGGTCTTTGGTGGCTCATTAGCACTATCACTCCATAGGATTCTTTGAAGGCTGTGTTGACTTTCATCTATCAAAATCATCCTATACATTTTTATCATATCGGCCGTTAAGGCATATACGTGAATTCGAAATCCGATCATTATCGAAAATAAATCTTTTTGTATAACTCCACCGTTATACTGGAGAGAGTTGAGTGAAATACCGTTAGTTGTTAAACTTGAACAGTTAAATACAACTCTTAATTTAGTACTAGTTTTTTCTGGTTTATATATTCCGTGATGTGTTGCAAAATATGCCACTTCAGGCTCTTTCTCTTCTTTAACTTCAGCTCTAGTGTAGAATTGGGTGCCCCTTCGATTAGAGACAATTTGTTTCTTAATTTTGGCGATGAAACCTCACTTCTGGTTACCATGATAGTTTTAACTTCATTTTAGCTTCCTGATTTTATTTAAATGAAAATAGATTGATGTGTACATGGACAAATTTAAGACAGTGCACAATGCCTAGTTTGTGCAATTCTAGGATGTTTTTTTAAGTGAAAACAGATCGATGTGTACATGGACACACAGTTTGCGCAACTCTTTAACTTCTTATTTTGGTTTTGTGTAGCGGCCATTTTGAAATTGTGCCGTCCTGGCGTCGATCTTGGCGTCAAAAAAGAATCGCCAAGAAATAAGAGGCACCAGATTGTAAACTTTTTCTTAACTTCCTTCACATGTCTTAGTTAAGTATACTCATGAAGTCACGATATAGAGAGAGATAATTTGGATCTCTCGACAAGCGAGTCCATAGCGATCTGAGTTTTTTAAGAGCAATGTCCCTAGACTGACCTAAACACGAAGGATCATCTTTAAGGGGCATTTTTACCACGTATCTACTTTCCTCATTTCTTCAGCGCGTTCGCACAAAATGTTCCTCACATATAGAATTTTCTTTACTTTTGCTTAATTCTAAATCTACATTTTCAATTTCCCAAAACCCTTTTAATGTTTTATTTAAATCCTCTTCATGTATCAATCCGCAATGCATCTTAGATTCATTTCCCTGATCGACACTTCCACTGGCGACATAGCCAAACACTGTATTTTGTAAAAGCAATTTTGAATTTTGTGCATAAATCTGTCCCGGTCTCAATAATTCATAAAATATCTCTGCACCTAACAATATACCAATGTTCCCTGGAATTTTAAAACTGTAATCAGCTAACGGTACTAAGTATGAAACCTCAATATTTACATTAAGTACCTGATGTGGTACAAGATCTGTAATTTTTTTTATTACAAGCAAATTTATCTCTTTCTCAAAACTCCTATTTTTATTTGCGATTGTTGTCGTAACGCGTCCTTTCACTACCATTGACGAATCATTTAAACACGAGATTAATGTATTTATTTTTTCGCTTTTTAATCCTAAGCGCTTCATACAGTGTTCACTTAATAAACATGTCTGAGAGCCTGAGTCTAATATACACCGCACCTCCTCCCACTGCGAACAGTTATTTTTAATTAATGCGCGAACTGTACTCGGTAGAACATTCTTGGTGTTAGCTTTCCCAAAACTAGTAAAGACGACAGATTTATTCACGTTTGACTCATTGCGTGGTGGGGAAAACTGCACCTTCACCAATTTGATTTCCGGTCTGCAGTTCAAGGAAATTCGATGAAGTCTTACAATTGGGCTTATTTTTATTTTGTCTGAAAAAATGAATTAATTTATTGTATGGTTTGTCACAGAAGCAATCTCTGGCTGAGCAATTTCTTGCACTACATTTAGGGGACAAACATTTGAAACATGTCTTATTCATTTTAATAACTTCTACTCTTTCAGGAACCGAAAGTTTTTTAAATTGCGGACAAAAGTTTAAAGCGTGGACTTCATTATTTTTACATAAATTACATTTAACACCTTTTGCTTCCGATAAAAACACATTCGAGACCTTTTTTTGGAAATGCGAGTTCTGAAACTTTTGCTGGTTGTGACCTTCATGCCGTTTAATTTCGTTTCCGTTATAAGGTTTCGTAAATGCATTATATTCACTTTTACCTTTACCCTTTGAAGTTAAATAAATGTCGCACTCTCGTCCTAGCTGTTGTGGGTTAAAATATGATTCTCCTTGTTTAATTGCAATATGTGTCATCAAATTCGCGATCAAGTAAACAGAATATTTTATCTGATACAATTAATTCACATAATGATTTAAAATTACTCACTTTACGCAACTGACAATAATATTCAAATGTAGCACTTAATCTTGAGGCAAACTTGTACATAACTCTCTGAATGTAAATTTTGCACTCTTTGAAAATTGTTTAAACACTCTTGTGGCGTTGGTTGAAATTATTTCAACACTATTGTCTTAAGCTTATCATAACTGCGCAAGTCTTCCTCAGTCAAATAAAGCATTAAATTATTCGCTCTATCACCCAGAATATTTAAAAGAATTTCCGCTTTTAGCTCATCGGGCACACTTTTGGTTTCAAACGCTTTCTCAAGGGGGAAAAAAGGTTAAATGACTCTACTCTCGTAGGCACTGGGACACACAGCGTTTTAATACTTTGAATTAAATTTTGTAAACTGTCCTTTGACGGTTCTGCTGTCAAACACGACATATTCTGAGACAACTCCTTTCGCATATTCGCGATTTCAAGTTCTTTCTCCAATTGCGCTAGTTTGATTTTCTTTAGCTTTGTTTCGTTTTCGAGTTTTTGTAACGCGATTTTTGACTCGGTTTCGGCTTTATGTTTTCTCGATTCATTCCTCAAGCGCATAATCAACTACGCTTTTAACTAACTCAGGATCGGTTTTGAAAACTTTACTACTATCTATCAAATTTTTTAAATAAACAATTTTCGCGTCTTCCGCAACGGTTAGACCTAACTCTGCCGCGACCAGCCTTAACTCGTCTTTCCTTAATTTAGCAATCAAAGACATCCTTTAACGATAAGTAAAGCTAAATAAGGTAATTGCTCTTACCTCAAATCACTGGGATCGCTCACTCGCTAAATGCCCTCGATGGAAATCACCGTCACTCATACGCACTTCGTAATCTAACAATTTTTCACATCATCCACAGGTCTCCGGCTTCTCCATGACGGACCATGTTAAGTATACTCTTGCACAAAATAATCACGTCTACTCTTTCACAGCTATAATTGTTTATTGATAACTTCTGAGTTCACATATCATTCACATAGCGGTTCTCCGCATTCTCTTCATCTCATCTCTTCCGCTCTCCGCTCGAGGGCGCTGCTGTTGCTACAGCATGCGCAAACACTTACTTTTATTTAATCTGGTTTATTAATAAATTACTCGGGGAAATCGAATGACCCCCACGTGACTACCACTGTCCAATCTGTGTTTTACAACAAGGATGAATTTGAATATTTTGTTTAGCTAATTTGTTGCACTTAGTTGTGCCATTTGTCTTCATTTAGATCGCGATATTAGTTTAATTATTCCAATCTGGATAACCTGTTTCAAAACTTGATAATTATTAATATATCCAATATTTCTCATTGCATGCGTAAGCTGCTTTGCTCGGAGTCTGAAACTTGGGTGGGTGACCACCCACGTGACAGGCTCCTGCGAATCATCTCCCTCCACTCCACCTACATTTCACAAAATTGACAAGTTTCGCCTAGTTGGCGCGGCGTAAATCGCCTTAATTAAAACTTAAGTACCAACGCCTTAGGGCAATTTACCAACAGAGACGGTTAAAGTAGCGGTTGGCTACTAATTGCCGCCTAGCCATTGACTCGATTTCCAATTCTCATCAGATTTCCACCTACGTTGAGCCTGTCCTGTTTTCAGTGCTCGTCATTGCTTTTTCTCTGTCCTGTGACGCCAGTCACCCCCTCCCAACATCTCCATACTCCTGCAACCCGTCCGGACATTTCCATGTTTTGCGCCCATGTTGGCACATTTGTCCAGAGCCGGCGACGTCGCGTATTTAACAGCGACAGTCCGGCATAAAAGATATTGATTGAAATCGAATTTAGGAAATGCTTGAAGCGATTTCTTGATTCTTGAATTTATATGCGTTATTCTACTCAATTTAGTTGCAGTTTTTTCTTTCTAGATCTGAATGTTCTGTCTTCAGCTAAATTGTATAGCTTAAAGATTTAGTTTCTCAGAATGTGTCTATCAATGTATAAATCTAAATAACTCTGATACTTGCACATTAAAAATGCAAAAATAGCCTTAAATAAATTCATTTCCTTCGAATTTTCAAGACTTCTGGTTAATTGTTCTAAAATTTCTGCCACTCATTAACGTAATCGGGAGGGAGCGAGTTGTTTTATTAAAGGCTTTGTATTTGTGTTAATTTTTTAATCTAATATTCGTGCTTTAAAGAAAAGGCTTGTTCAAAGCAGTAGCATATCAACTTTAAAAGACCCCCCCCCAAAGAAGTTATTCACCAATTTTTACAATAATCCACAATTTATGAAGCAAGTGTATATTGGTGTATTTTCGGTTTGGGTTTAATGAACCCATTATAAGATCGCTGTAATGTAATGCATACAACTTCCTCATTTCAGCAAGTTTCTGGAGAATTTACAGTTAACATACATCTACAGATTGCTGCATGGGTTTATATTAATTGGAAATTACGTGAAACTTTCGTCTTACAGTTTTATGAGCAGCGACTGTTCGCATCGTAATAGGGTGACAGTCTGACGGTTAAAAGGTAAGATTTTTCATTTCCAAAGAAAATGTCTTTTAAAATGAAATTTTTATATTTACTAAACTAGTAATATTTCGTGAAACCGCGCACTTTCGGTGTCACAAAACTAGACGACTTAGAAACTTCATCCCCATTTTGAGTTTTTATGCAGCTCTTATGTTTAATTTCGAGATTTAAAAATTCAAATTATTTAAGAGACTAAAACTTCTTGAGGAGAATATTTTGTTCACGTTCTATTGCCGATTTATTACTGCAACAAAGAAAGCTGATAACCTTATCAGTTATATTTTGATATTTCTTAATTATGATCATTTTGTTGATTATATGTTATCTGGAACAGCCAATTTGTGTATTTTAATAATCCAGAATCACTTTGAAATCAAGTAACAAAATTAATTTATTAAGAGCGTCCCTATTTCTGCTGTAATTAACGCATATAAATGAAAGCAAGTTAGACGTTTTCGTTTATATTATATTGTTAAAACACTTTTTTTATTGTTTTTGCTTTCTCTCCTTCAGATAGTGAATTTGATTTAATTTTTTACATTTTGTTAAATTGCTTTAATCGCTTTTGTTAATTTCGTTAAATTACTGTAATTGCTCACTTTAATTTCTTAAGTTGCTTATATTTTGTTAAGGTATTGCAATTAGTTCTTTCAAATACATACAAAGAAATCAAATCAAAGAGATGACGCTGTCTTAATTTAATGTAAATTAAAACTAGTCTAGCGTAAATTAGACTCTGTATCAAAGTGGGTAAGAGTGTGAGTAAAGTAGGTATTTATTTTATTATTTGTGAATGAAATTATTTTCTCTATAGATAGCTATGAATGTTCTGTACATTTTACTTCTATTGTACATATTTTTTAAGTACTGTTGAATGAAAATTGTATCATATATATACCTCTTATTTTTTAAGAATTTTTGAGAAAGAACTAATGTTTCTTTTCTTTTCTTTTCTTTTTTTTTTTTTTTTTTTTTTTTTTTTTTTTTTTTTTTTTTTTTTTATAGGATCATACAGGAGAGAAACCTTTCAATGAAAGTTTTACCATAAATCCTCAAACTGCTAACTATTTATTTCTAAGAAACTTGTTGGCGCGCATTTTCCACATCGAAGGGTAAGTGAATTTTATCGTATTTGGTACGATGGTTTATAATGCATAGAATAAGATGCATCTGTGTTTGTCATTTCATTGTTTCTTTAAATGTCTTTATTTAAATAAAACTGCTGGAAAATCATGCGAGGTCGTATAAGAGGAAGTGTATATCTTGCTAAAACTCCCTACATTCATCGAGCAACCTTGTTGCATTAACACCTGTGCATCTGAAAATGACTCATATTCTAATAAAACACAGCTCTAATTTACACAGGTTGTTGGTATCCATCCTATATTGGCAGATGGCACAATGCATGCATCTTCGTTTTCCTTTGAAATTCGCTTTTCTCTCTAATTTTTTATAAATGTTTGGTTACTTCCTATTACGTAAATGAACAGCTGTTCCCTTTATAATCTTTCACCAAAAAAAAAAAAAAAAAGCCACCAGAAAATTTACCCAATCCAGTAATGCTCTGTAAAATGATTTCGTCATCATGTACTTGGAATAAGCTATTGTTCTTGCATTTTAAAAATTATATTCAGTTGTCTAAGGGTGATCGAAGTCCAATATTTTATTCCAGCTTCTGAGTTGATATAATAAGTTATTTAGACTTTTACGAGTATATTTCCGATTCCTATACTTCATTCCAAGCATAATGAATTTTATAAACTTGGAAGTGACGGAGTCCTATGGATGAATGAAGAAAAATAAAGTAATTCAGACAAATAAGAAACTATAAATTAATTAATAAATTAATAACGATTCAATAAAATAAAATACCGGAACCCATCTGAGGCTCTAGCTAGAGCTACAGTTTCACCTCAAAATTGAAAAATATCAGAGCAAGACTCCGGTGGACTGGCGCTGAATGTAGATCCAGTATTATTTGCTACTTCAAGGAATGGTAGAACATTAGTTCTTTTTTAACACACCAATGATGAAAAGTAAATCGGTTAAAGCGTTGCTAATGATTTAAAGAGAATACTAGAAAGAAAATTTGAACGGAGAAGCGTCGATACAAAAATAAATACAGAGAAATCAAATACTTTCTGACCACGATCTCCTGTCAATATGATTACAGTTTTCAGGCAGAATAGAATGTGTGACAAAGAAAAGTTGCCTCGAATCTAAGACTTAATCTTTAAATAGAAAATAAACGTAAGTGACCATTTTCATCAGACATGTTTAGTTACGTCCGTCCGGAAGGTTTTTAAATTTGAATACAAGCCGACCTCCAAACTTCAGTCGTAAAAAAATTTACTAAAAATTATTGTCTTAATACCCGGAAATACACGGTAAGTGTTTAAAGCTTGATATGCTAGCACGGTAGCAGTTTAATGCGATAAGTAGAATAAAACCATATTCTATTCTAAAACTTTTCTACTTCTTTAATCATTCAAATTTGATAGCTCCATTGTTTAATCCACACAATGAAAGTTGTCTGATGTAGCATTACATCTTTTACAATAATTAGAATTGAAATGTTTTAATAGTGATATTGTAATTAATCACCTTAGTAATATGATGATGTGATTTTTTTTTCAGCGAATTCACAGTTAATTTCAAAAAAGGCAAGGAATACCTTCCTTTGACTTCGGACTGGGATTTAGATGGTGCCATAGCCGAAGCTTCTAAACCTTATCTGTCGCTTGCGATTGAGCTACAACCTATAGACAAAGGTAACTACACTCATTTTTTCTAACTTTAGATTTAATTGTAAAAACAGATAAATCGAAGCATTTATAGTTAAAATTGTTACAATTTTACGTAATATAGAGGCCACCTACACAATTTTTATCAAATTTTCAATTTACAAATGTTTTTACCTTGCATCTAAAAATGCAGTTTAATTCTTACTGCCGAAGCCTATAAGGGAATTACTAATGAAGTATTCTTAAAAATTGAGTAAATGAAACATTTATAATTCCTCTTAGGTGAAAAAAAGGTTTTCTGCTATTACAGGTTAGTTCGCACATACCAAATATCATATACGTTTATCATCGACTTAATAGAATAGAAACAATGTACTGAAAATCGATATGATCCGTTGACATGCTGTACTCGATAGCTTTAATCCTTTAGTATCAATATCATTCGATTTATAATGTTGCAGACAAAAAAATGAAAATTTATAAACTGAAATTGATGACAAAAGTATTGATATTTTTTTTTTCCATCATAGAGACAAAAAATCCTCAAGTTTTATATTTTTTAATTTTACTTATATTTTTATTTTACTTATTTTTTGGTGAAATTTAAAATTGTAATTAAGATTATGATTTTATTACTACAAAAATGGAGATACTTCAAAACTCTCTATGAATTTCCATAACAATATGTAAAATAATTCAGAGAAACTGCTGTAAGAATCTAAGTAGTTTGACTGAAATAGTTGTCGATGTGTTATGATAGATAAGATATTCATTCAAAAACTGGGCAGCTAAGTAAGGAAACGTTTCGGTGCGATTATGAGAAAACCGAAACAGGTGATTCAAAATTTGGTAACGTAACCTATTTCATAATAATTTATTTTTATAGAAGTAGAGAGAGTCTAACACTCATATTTTGAAGCACTGAATAAATATTTAAATTTAACATTTCTATTAGTTCGTATCAAAAATATTTACAGAAGATCTATTTATTTTTAGCCTATGATGAATGGGATATTATCTGTCCTGTTGATATTCCTTTTGCTGAACAACATATTACCCGCTGTTCTGAAGAAAGGAAAAGTTTAGCTGGTTCTATTATCAGTCAGGTAAGATCACACAATATAATATTTCCTAAAGAATAGTATGTAATTTAAATCCTCAAGCATTTTTAATATTTGAAGTAAATTCATTTGGTTTCAGGTATGATGAAGCTGTGATTATTTTGATTGTACGGAACAAATAAAATTATACAGGTCGATCAAAACGTAACGCACAAACTACTGTAGCTCGGAAGTGGTAAGCAAAAGAGAAATTAAATTTTTAGTGGAAGCATTGTTCCTTTGGAATCATCTTTCAATTATGATCCGTTTGTTTTACTAAGCCATTTTTGCTTCTATGACATGAATTCATGCTCATTCTATCGACTACCTTTTGGTTTCCGAAGTGAAATAAAACAACCTGGTTTCATTATATTTGATGATTAGATGAAAACATTCTGAGTTGCCCCGGAGAAAATTTGCACAAGATCATTCATTGCTCACCTTCTTCCTAATTTGAGTTATGTCTTCTGTCAAGAGCCGTGGAACCCAGTGAGCACAGATTTTCTGTGTCCCAATCTTTATAATCCCCATCCAACGTTGGCATAAAATGATCTGTGTGAAATGTTCGATAAATGTGTTAAAACTAATCCAACGGTTAATACTGTTAACACAGATCCTTTTGCCGTACTTGTATGCTGCATGATCTGCCTCTTGATGACGCAGCTGTCATTTTGGGCGAGTTCCCGAACCTGTTTTCATCGGTTGTGATAGTTAACGATCTACATGAATGGGGCTAATCCTGGGTATTGCAACCCGAAACACCTGGAGCCATTGATACCCATTACTTCGATACACTGTGCTGTCCATATAGACTGGCATCAGCTTGCTCTGAATCACATTTTTTTTTTTATTATTTTTTATACAGGATTTGTAAAGGAATTCGATGACTGTACGTTGGGTCTGTCATTGATCATCGGCCATGGCTTACTTGAAACAACAAGAAATAAAAATTGGGTATAAATTAGGTAGTAAAGGACAGATGCTTCCTACAAAATTTCGTTCATCTAGGGCTTACCGTTACCGAACTATAAGGGATAGTGCTTTACTTTTTAACAGACTTAGGTAATTCATCTATAAGTTTTTTAATTTTATTTTTAAATTTTTAAACTTGTAAATCTTTAAAGAAAAATTTAATAATTAGCAGTAGTACCGCACTTGCAACTTAAATTGCGTAAAATACTTTTCCTTTGCTTAATTTTTATTTTTATTTCTGAAAGTATTACTTTTTATTTATTAGTTTAATTTCAAGGTATCTCTTGCTAGAGTGCTCAAATTCTGTTCATAAAATATATTTATCTATAAATATATTTTTGACATGAAATAACAGTAATCTGACTCTGGTACAAAGTAACCCATAAAAAAATCACCTAACTCAAAATTCTACAATAGCTTTTTTTAGAATTTCTATTTATAATTTTTTTAATCATGGCTGCTTCAAGATAGCATATTCGATAAAAAAAAAATTCATGCATTAATTTTTAATTTGCGCCTGCCATAAACTACTAAAGAAGCTGCTGAAATAGTTTAATTAAAACATTTACTTTTTGATATAATAAAATTATTTAAATAATCAGACTGCTTGTTTCAAATTTGCAGCAGCACCATTTAGAATTAATCATGTAGAGATCTTTTAATCTACTTATTGTAATGACAGTTCTGTGTTTTTGTAGAACAAAAGTTCCTTTAATGCAAAAATTAGAAATCTTAGCACAAATACATGCACTTTATTTATATAACTAATGCATCATTTAACAATAAGAATTATTATGCACACGCGTTCATAATTCTTAAGGCCAAGTTTCGCAACTGCATTCCTTCATATGCAAAAGCCTAAATGTATTCCGAAGTATCAGGATGCTAGAAGGGTCACATAACGACTGGCAGCATTACTTTATCACACAAAGTGCTAAAACTGTAACTCGATCTGCTAGACATAATGGTAACAAAATTTAAATTCTGCGGTAGAGAAAAGACAGAAAACTTAAGTTTTCTTTCTCGAAATATGTAAGAAGTAAGAACTCTGAATGCTTGAATAAGTTAATATTTGCTGTGAATGTCAAAATGATAGCCAGCAGTGAATAAACTGTGTTTTGACCAAAGGAAGATCTGAGAATTGTTAACGAGTGTCGGACAGACGTTACAAGATCAATTACAAAAAGATAGACATGAACAATACAATTAAATCAAGAGCAAGTGAGCAATATGCAATAAAGCATAAAAAGTATCAGTGTAAATATGATACAGTAAATAATAATACGATGCAATTCAGTCAGTAACATAAGTCCCTATCGAAGAAAAAGGAATTATCTATAACTTAAAGGAGGAAATATCTGTAAACTACAGTAGAGCAGGTGTAATGTAAGGAATTAGCTGTAAACTACAGTAGAGCTTCAGTAAGTTGAATTAAAAATGTCGAAACATCCAGTCAAAATGCATCTATTGAATTTTCGATTAATTGATAACTTTTCTCTGACTCGTTCAATTTTGGCTTATCAAAATTTGACAGTACGTGCTATATTTCTTAACAAATGAAATGCGATAGGGAAACAGTGAGCTAAGAAATAAAGCAATGACGAAATTTAGATTATAATTTATCTTATTAAAGATTAAATACTACAATTGATTAAATTTATCGATTTCCTTTTTAGGTGGAAATAGCTATGTTGAAAGTGCAGAGAGCTTTCAGTTTTGAGTCGTACAGCGACGAGCGGGAAAGGCCCCCTCTGGACGAAATAGGGTACAATAGTCTCTTAGATCAAGAAGGACGAGTCGTAAATCATCGAGAACTGCACATGGCTGTCTATAAAGGTGGGGTCGAACCAGCTATGCGACCCACGGTCTGGAAACATTTACTTAATGTTTTTCCACACGGTATGACTTTGGAAGAAAGAAACAGTTACTTAAATTCCAAATCGGAAGAATACTACAGACTGAGATACCGTTGGCAGCATTTAATTCAATCTGGTAAGTTATGTCGCTGTAACTGCAAAAATTACTTTTCACATATGCCAGAATGAGGTGAATCCAACTAGCTGAAGCACAGTTTTCAAAGCGCCGCGCTCCTGATCAGATATTTTTAAATTTCACTTCTTCCTCTGATAAGAAACGTGTTCAGGAGTGCTTAAGTATTCAAGTATCTTATTTCCTAAATTATTTATATTTCGCTAGTGTTTTAAGCACTTCACTCAGCACACTATGTTTTCAAACATAATTAGGTGAACGAAAACATAATTAGGTGATAGGAGTTATTCAATTTACGAAGAACTATTTATTGCATATCCCGAAACATTAACATTATTCTGGCCCTTAAAATTGCTATAACAGGAAGGAAAGCAAATAGCAGAATCTTCTTTATTACGCATAAGCAGTACTACAGAAAAAAGATAGGAAGTTTAGAGCACACACCATGCAAAATTCAGTGCGCAAAGCTGATATATTTGTCAGCAACAACGGCTTTACTCCGGTTGGACATCGAGTGTGAATTTGAATAACAGATACTTGTACTTCATTCCAGGCGGCTTCACGTCTGTTCCACAGTTCACCAATTCTAATGGATAGGGAGTGGATACCAGTTTAGTCGCAACCTTTGTGAGCAGATATTCTCAGTGGAAGAGAGATCTGTAGAATGTACTAACGAGGCTAAAAATTGATCGTCCTTCTCTATCGAGGAAGGTCAGAACAGCAAGGTCAACATGCGGTCGGTATTATATATTTTAAACATGGCGTCATTCAGACTTTAAATAGACGGCAGAGCTGCGGGCTTTAACAGTCAGATACGCAACGGCGGCTGTCTATATTATTAGTTAATAATGTTTGTATACGTGCTCCGTCATTGACACTACACGATCTGGCTCCAATGAAAGACCCTCATATCATACAAGTGGCTGGATCGCCACATATTGTTTCCTGAGAGGTTTAGAAATAGACGCTTATCATGCTACCACCCCGGGCTCCCTAGTCGGGAGTGGCAGGCTATAAAATTGGTCTCCACTACCACGGCTATCTCCTGGGCCCGCGCGGTCACTACTCCCGGTTTCACCACGGCATGGAACATGCACACTTTGAGATTTGACTGGCCGTTAAAAATGCTACCTGCCAGTACTATGCGGGCTCCACTTCACATCACGCTAGATGCTGTGCCCGCATGACGATGACGAATGCAAGCTGGCAACGTTCATTCTCTACACATAAATATATCCGCTGTGATACTTCACATAATTGTCTGTAAAAGTGACGTGATGCCACTCCTGTGTCCAATATTGTAATTCATTGCACCACTGTAAGCGCGCCTGTCTTCGCTGCAACATCAAGGGAAACCGTAAAAGTGGCCATCGTGCTAGTCCTTAATGTTGCAGACGTCGTCCTGCACACGAACCAAATTTAAAATAACCGACATGGCTGTACGTTTTCGAAAGGCTGAAACATGTCTGTTTTGTCTGGCGGCAATGGCCCGGGGCCGCTGAGATCCTGCATATGGCGTTCAGTGCGGTCCTCTTGGACCCATCGATTCACGAAATCCTGACCAATATGCATAGCAGTATGAGGTAACGACAAACCACAGTCCCGACAGACCACGATCCTGACGCAGTCGAATTCCGGCACATGCTGGTAGAAGTTTTTCCTTCTTAGACGAGGCACACAACACGACCTTTATATAGAAAACATTCAAATGCAATTCCGAATGAGAAATCCACTGCACAATCTTCCCATTTATACACAATGTAGATGATCTTATTCAAACCTGCTTTTTGCTCATGCGCTGAATGCTAACCATTTGTATATCCAAGGATGTAATAATTTATATGCAAATTTGACGTTTGTTTCATACCGCTTTCATAGTATAGCAATTTTAATAGCCAGGAGTCTGGGTTTGCTTACTTCTCAATTCTCTTCCTTTATCACCTTTATCCGACTCCTCCGTAATTAGTTTTTTAACATAGTCTAAGCTTTCCTGTTTTCTCTTTTCTTTTAAACCCACTTTTTTATCTCACCCTTAAAAACTCGAATATTCCAAATGCAGCGAAATTATTTTTATTTTCAAACAAAAATTGTCTTTCTATTTGCCTTAACTTCGCACTTATGATTGATTTTTGGCCCTGCTGGCAGAAAGATTTACTGGATGCAAAATAAGATGTATTTATTTTGTCTGGACTGGGTCAATCATCCTGCACTTTTATGTTTGTAGATGTTTGAAAGCCGTGTTGAAGACTATCATATTTGTAATTTTGTCACTGAGACACGAAAATTAAGAAGTGCTTTTATTACATAACGAAACCTATTCAGTCTTGTAAGTAGTGTTAAAGATTGTAGTTCCTGCGAATGCATGATAATGTCAAAAAACTGTATTTGATGCAGCATTCCATCTCAAAATCTAAAATAATGCAGTGCTAGGATAAGCAGTCTGTTACTCTGCAAACGTTCTTAAAAGCATAAGCGATGCAAAAATTTGAATTAGAAAATTAATATTTTTGAATTGTGTTCTGTAAGATAAAAGATATTTATGCTTTTTGTACTTTAAAAAACAATTGTTACTCAGCTTCTATACGGAATAGTAAAAGCAAATGCAAGGAATGCCTGAAAATTTTTGATTTTTATATTTGTATTGATTTATAGCCTGTTTTTTTAATATCTGAAACCAAGTATTAATATTTACAATATACAAAAGAAATTGCACTATGTCAAAATAAATAATGTAATAATCCTTGTTTTGAACTTTTTATTATACAAATATAAACTAATTAAGACTTTCCTCAGTTCCTTTAACATTTTCCCCAATCTCTGTTTATTGACAAGCTTTCAAAATGGTGCTATATATAAAATCCAAATTTTCAGCAGAAATTTGGATCTGACGTGGGAAATACATAAATTTTTGTACACATTACTTCAAATATATTTAAAAATAAAGTTTGGAACCCATTCTAAAAATTTTTGTAATTTGCTAGACTCATTTTTATACATAAATAACAGTATTTAATTGAAGTATAGCTGTAATTAAAAATGTAAATATTTGATTTGGGGAATATTAAGCAATAAATGTATTTTCTGTACAGGTACCGTACCAGATGTCTTACAAGATATTACGAACTTGGTGCGAAAGGACGTCAGAAGGACTGATCGCACAGAAAAATTTTATTCCGGTTCTGATGACAACGAGAATGTGCGAGCACTTTTCAACATACTTACAACTTATGCTGTCAATCATCCGAGTGTGTCATACTGCCAAGGTATGAGTGATTTATTGTCTCCCATTCTATATGTCATGAAGAAAGAGTCGCATGCATATATTTGCTTTTGCGGTCTCATGAAGAGAGCACAAACGAACTTCAAGTTAGATGGGCGTTCTATGAAGATAAAATTCCGTCATCTACAAAAGATGCTTAAGTTTTATGACAGAGAACTTTACTGTTACATGAAAGAACAAGGTGCTTTAGATTTATTATTTTGCTATCGGTGGATTTTATTAGATCTGAAGCGAGAATTTCCCTATAACGAAATGTTGAGTATGATGGAAGTGCTATGGGGATCACTACCTCCCAAACCACCGCATAAAGAACTCGATTTGTATGAAGTAAAATTTCCAACCGCTGCTATTTGCAATTCTCTTAAAGAAAGAACGAACTCTTTAGATTATTTCAGATTCTGTGAAGATCATTTTGGTAATTCGCATGATACAAGTTCTCTTTCCCACTCTACATCGAACACTGCCACATCTCAGGCTTTAAAGAAATGGGCCTTGCGCGTAAGACGGGAATCCATCGCCAGAAACATTGAATCGCACGAAAGCTCTAGTGAGGAAGAAATAAAGCTGCCTCTTCATTACAGGAAACGAAAGTTTCGTTCGTATATAACAGGCAAATTAGGCAGACTCAATAATAACAGACAAATTCCAGCACCAGAATGGCCTGTCAGATCGTGCAGAGTCCCAAAAAGAAGAAACTCTCTTGTACCAGAGATTTGCCAAAGTTGGTCATGTGGTGAAGTTTTCGAAGAAAAACCAGAAATAACTGACGCACTTTACGATGCTAGAGATTTCTTGCGTAATCAGTGGTGCTATTCGAATACTGTGAACGAAATCCAACTCAATAATTGGTTAAACGGCCGGCATTTTGGTATTAAAGAGTGTGCAGTAGGTAGCAAAGATGATGATTCTATAATTAGTGAAAGTAATAGTCGCCAACGACATGGAAGCAGTGATTCCAACTACAGCACTATTTCCGAAGAGTTTTCGGATGCTGAAGATGAAAATTTGGAGAAAGATACTTCACCAAGAACACAACGGAGTAGAAGTGAAGGTTACAGTTCGGATATTGATTCAAAAGAAGCATCTACGCTGGCTGATGATGACGATTATGACTCTGAAGAAGATGAGTTTGAAGATTATTCTGACGATGAATTTATAGATTCTATGGACGGCAGACAGTTTGAAGAAGTTGAGTCGTATTTCGATCGGAAAAAAGAAATGTTGCCACCTCCTCATATTCTTGGTGATGGTAATCCGTTCTTGCTCTTTCTTTGCATCACAATGATCATGCAACACAAAACTGAAATTCTAAATCGTAAATTAGATTTCAACGAGCTCGCAATATACTTCGATAAGCTAGTTAGAAAGCACAGATTATGCAAAGTACTACGTAAAGCTCAGAAGCTTTTTAAAGATTATTTAAACATGGGTTGGGATGCTGAAGACAAGGATGATGGCGAAGAATCGGAGCCGTAGATCATTTCACATGTCGACATTATGAGAAAATAATCTGTGATGCAATATCTGACTCCCTTTCCAAAGGAAAGATGATTCATTTGCTAAGCTGAAGGCAATCAACTGAGGCAGTAAATAAGGCTGACTAAATTTTTGTTTGTAGTTCAAAAGACTAGAAAAGTTTAGACGTTTCGAAATGTATTGGTAAGGTATTCCTGAATTCTGCAAGGCACAGATTGTGGTACCATCTACAAGTTTTTTGAAACGATGGACCAAACTTCTCTGTAGAAACAGTGTTGAAAAGCTTTTCTCTCCAGTTTTACCGTGCATTCATCAGTTTTTGTATCAGAAGTTGTGATAATTTTTGTACATATGATTTGTAAATATCTCGATACTTTTTAACATTCCAGATGTATAGTAGTGCCTCCTTATTCTCGATTAATACATATCGAAATTTGTTGCAGATAACAGCAAACGCTGTGTATAATACGGTATTCAAATAACATACACAAATAGAATGGAATTTAATTGATGAAATTATTTAATAAACTATTATTAACGCTAAATAAAACGCAGTAATAAAGTAAATTTGCATTGTAAATTATCAGTATATTCTCCTTTCTCGTAAGTATGAAAGTAAAGAATACTGATATTTTCTACTAACTTTTAGGAGATGATTATGATAATGAAAATATACTGATATCCTAAAATGATGTTACTCTGTCATAAATATGTTGTATATAAGTACAATAGCAATATTTTCTCTAGTATTCTAACTCCCATTAAACTGTACGTGATATCAGTGTCAAAAGATAGCAGAACAGTGAAATTCATGCCAGTTCTTCAGAATACGATTTGCACTAAAATATTAGTTCGAACTTTGCTTGCGTAGTCTGTTGGTATAATAACAATGTAAAGAAGCGCTTAGATAATGTTTCTTAACGGCGTACGTGTGCACCTGCGCACTAATTTAAAAAAAAATGCACGTTAAATAAATATCTTATTCCCCGCGTACGCAGATTTCAGAACGTCAGCATACGAAACAATTATTGTAATCTATGCAACGTACCAATCTGATAAAAGAAAAATTTATGAGAATTGCAGATTCTGTAATTTCAAAATTGTCCATTTTTTACTCCACCCCTGAGAATAAAAAACCACGGATAATGTGCTAAATTATCGGATATGGAGACACGACTGTACTGAATATTTTATTTATATACCCGTGTAATATATATTAACAAATTTTTGTATTTAAAGATCTTCATCAGAAACTGTTCCCATATATAATTGTTTAATAAGTGCTGTAATATGGATTGAGTTATGAATGAAGGATGCTAATTATGATATTTATTTTTAAAATCGACATGTTTGAAATGGATAGTTGCTAGTTATTAAAATACATTGTAGAACAATGTAAGAAAACAGTTTTTCATTTAAAATAATGCATTTCATTTTAATATTTCATAGATTTATAAAATGTAGAATGTCTTGTATTTTTTCTGTAGTGAGATAAATCTGTGAAAATGAATTCACGTGTTAAATGCGTAATTTTATTCTTTATGTATTCTGCTGTGCAGAAAATGATACTTGTTAAAGGAGTTTTATGTATTTAAATTGTCCACTATGTTTTTAGAAGTTGGTACGCATTTTGTGTGAATGGTTGTATGAAAGTGTGCCATTTGTATTTTAAAGTAAACGACTAAATGAAAGAAATAAAATAATTTCGAAACGAAATATGGCTTGTTCTATCTATCTACTTACGTTTTGCGAAAGCAATGAAATTTTGATGATTTTGTATATGAATGCAAGCCCCCAATAGCAGACTCAGTATACCAAGACTGAGTCTGCTATTGGGGGCTTAAACTTCTTTCCTCGAATTTCATTAGAGACAGTTCTTATTCAATTGACTCAGTTCTCAGTTTGCGGCAAGGCAAAAAAATAAATAAATAAAAGTAACTCAAAACATCTTTATTAAAAATTGTAAAATACAGAAAAATCTAATACAATTTAAAAACAAATTTTACAGTTAAAATTAGTTTGTACGCAAAAAACAAGCAATTCGTGAAACGGACAGGAAGACAATATTTTCTGTGCACAAAACTGAAAGTTAACCTTTGCTCCCATACAGAAAAATCTAATACAATTTAAAAACAAATTTTACAGTTAAAATTAGTTTGTACGCAAAAAACAAGCAATTCGTGAAACGGACAGGAAGACAATATTTTCTGTGCACAAAACTGAAAGTTAACCTTTGCTCCCATTAGGTAAAAAGACAATGAACCTGGTGCAACAACTGACTTAATTCACTATTCTACTAAGTTTCAATCTAAACAACCTCGTCAGGCCTAGCACCGCTTTTAAATTGTTGATCATTCTACAACTATTGCATGCAGATTAACTAAAGGCATAAAAACTTTCACCGGAGCATAAGAACAACATAATTCAATCACTTTTAAAGGAAAAATTGCACAATTTACCAATATATAAGATTAAAAAAAGTCCAATAACAAATATATATATATACGATTGGTTTGGCCGATTTCAACGAAAAAGGGAGATGCCAAATTACATGATATAGAAGAACCATAATACAAAATTTCAACGTTCTACGGCTAGTCATTTTTGAGTTATGCGAGATACATAGGTACGTACGCACTGACGTCATAAAAAAGAACTCTTCTGAATCCATTTTAAAATCTGTTTTGGGGGGGAAAAAAAAAAAAAAAATTATTGGGACCGCACGTACAGATGTCAAGCAAAAACATCATTCAAATGGTTTCCAACGCTGTCAAAATGGATATTTTCGTTGAAATACGATACCCGAAATTTTTCACGGTTACAATAATTCCTTACTTCCTTTAGGAAGTGAAAAAAACGTTTATAACCTCTTCACATCTGTTTTACCATCAGCATTTTAAGAAATTATTTTCGAGTTTCGTTTCGCTCACGTTTTCGTCAATAGATTGCACGAATTGCTTTACTTTTCTATCCTTTACCTGAAATTTCCAATATTTGCTTCGCTGTTGCTTAAGTGCATGCTTCTTTGTCGTTATTGTTTTTAAATGCAAATTTCTTTGTCTTTAATGTAAAATAAAATTCGCTCCAAGAAATCTACATGATATCAATTAAAAATTGATAGGCCGCATTGCGTTCGCTTAATTAGAAATACGGGAGAACAACAAATCACTATTATCCGACATTGTTTAAAATTTGCATAATTTAGTGCTTGAGAGTATGAGTATATACATTAACTCTTTTACGATATAGACATGGCCCAACAAAGATAACATATTAACTCCTACGGCCACAGAGCCATTTTCCTCCCCGGTGGTGAATATCGGCATAATTTATTCTCTTAAATTGAAATCATCCGATTTCAATTTAAGAGATGGTCTTCTGAAAAGACTACATCAAATTTGACTTGTTTGGCCCAGAGCTGGAGCATTAAGCAAAATAAGGACGTGCATAGAGCATGGAGGAAAGGGGCACCACAAAAAAGGTTCTCGGAACTCAAGGAAAGGATGAACCACACAAATTTCTCATTACCGAATTTGCTAAAGAATATAATGCAGCTAAATCAAGAGCGAGAACGATATAATGGCGAAAATGTACAGTGGATGGACAAAAATATGGAAACACCTTGTGAAATGCATGTTTGAAAAGAAAGATTGATTTTAATGAAATATGTAGGTGGCGCTGGCGTTTTTGACCACTGACACCACCTATACAACTTCGTAAATGTGCTAAACAGTTCATTTGTCGTCGGAGTACTGTTATGTGAGGTTGTCATTGCATTATGTCAGAGTTAACAGACTTGGAACGTGGGCAAATTGTTGGAGCACGTATGGTAGGTGCTACCGTAAGCAAGGTAGCCGAGGTGTTTAGTGTTTCAAGAGGTACTGTATCGAAGATTTATTCCGCATATTTGAAAAGCGGAAAAACATCATCTGCTAAATCACAGCTTGGACGAAAGTGTGTCCTGAGTGATCGTGACAGACGATCATTAAGGGAAATTGTGACGAAAAATAAGAAGACCACAGCTGAAAAGTTACTGCTGAAATGAATGTTGTGGTACCGAAACCTTGTGGTACCAAAACAATTAGAAAGGGAGCTTCATAAACAGGGAATTGCTGGCCGTGCTGCAATTGAGAAGCCACTCATCAGTGATGCTAATGCCTGTAACAGGAAAAGGGGGTGTTTAAGTCATAAAGCCTGGACTATGGAGCACTGGAAGCGAGTAATATGGTCTGACGAGTCTTCTTTCAGATTGTTTCCACTTCTGGCCGAGTTTACGTTTGGAGAACGCCATCTCAAGCCTATAATACAGACTGCTTGTTGCCAAGAATGAAACATGGCGGGGGTTCTGTTATGGTTTGGGCAGCCATATCGTGGTTCTCTGCTAGCCCCATGATAAATGTGTCAGGGCACATGACTGCCAAGACTTATGTGAACATTTTGGCCGATCAAGTTCATTCCCATGGTACAAACTTTGTTTCCCCGATGGTGATGGTGTCTTCCAAGACGACAAAGCCCCTGTTCACACAGCTCACATTGTCCAGGACTGGTTTTCTGAACACGAGGATGAGTTGTCCCATCTCCTTGGCCACCACAGTCACCAGACCTGAATATTATCGAACCTTTGTGGTCTACATTGGAACGGAAAGTGAGTTCTCGTTATCCACCGCCAACATCGTTATCTGAACTTGCCACCGTTGCAGGAAGAATGGTATAATATTCCCTTGGCAAACATACAGGAACTGTTTTATCCATTCCGAGAAGACTGCAAGCTGTTTTGGATGCCAACGGGGTTCCTACACCATATTAAGCAAAGAAACATGGTTTTTTAAAGGTGTTTCCATATTTTTGTCCAAACCCTGTAGGTGTGCAGTGCTGCAAATGTATGTGGGAGCATCAAAATATTTTAAATGTATATAGAGCATCTAAAAGTCTTAATTCGCCACTGGTTTGGATCCCCCCTTTTTGTTATTATTATATCAAGACCTAACACTTCCTCTTCTACTACGGCAGGAAAATAAATGCAAACACAATTAGTCATTAAAAATAGTTTAATATATTTAATCTGCATAATATTGCAGAATAAAACAAAAACAATACTCTCTAAGGTAAAAAAAAAAAAAAAAAAAAAAAAAAAGGATTTTAAATATATTGAGAAAAATAAAGCTTCAAATATTCTTGATAAAAAGCAGTAAGAAAATTAATAATTTTTAATATCATATTACGTCTTGGTTGTTTTCTTCATGTTGTTTGCTTTGCATTTAAACCAATGATTCTGAACTTTTTTAAAGCTGTCGCTCCCCTAAGAAGCGAAAAATTTTTTATTGCCCCTTATGTGAAAATCCTGTAATTTAGGTATGGGAAAGAGGGGTTCCTGAATTATAAAAGGCAAAAATTTTAAGTAATTTTTTATAGTAGACGTACTCATTGTCAGATGGTAAGTATGTTCTTTTGTGATCAATTTTAGGTGTTTAAAAACTTCAGAATCAACTTTTGTAGTTTTCTTCACAAGCGATTTAGCGCTAGTCTTCCTAGCCAAATTCTGCTCAAGTACGCTTCCATTTCTAGTACTAACAGTACCTTCAATCATTTCTTTAATCACTTCATTCTTAAAAGCAAGATGGCTTAATTTCTTACCATCCTGTTTTTCCTTAAGGCCAGTCTTAATTAGTTACTAGATATAACTATCGAGCACAGCTTTTAAACGAATAAGATCGCTTAATGAAACCTTCTTCAAATTAAATTCGTCAATAATTTTCTTAGCCATATCGGAGAGATCTACACAGGTAACCATAGCAAAAAAGTCTTAACCTTAGGGTGCTGGCATGCCATGTAGTTTTTGTAGGATAGATACTAGTCTTATTGCCCATGTAAATCCAATTACTAAGATGCTGGAGTGAGCTTTTGCTATCAGATAAGATTCATAGATCTTGAAATTATTCTCCGTTAGTATAACCTTGATTAGTAAATTGATTGCTATCAGTTCACTTCTGAAAACTGAACGGTGATCTGGATTACATTGAGAGACTTTCATTTTTCCTAGGAGGGGGGGGGTCTCGATACAAATACTTCTACCTGCATAGTCAGCAATTTTGCTGCTGTTTGTAAAAATCTTCATAGCATTTTTGGGAATATTGTCTATTACCTTCAAAGCCAACAGTCTAAGGTGGTCAGTTATACAATCTTTCTTATTTATAGGACTGGAAAAGTTACAGCGAAAGTGAACTCTGCACAGTCCTTCCGATGGGTTTAAACCAGCAGTCGTCAACCCTTAGAATTTCACGGGCCACTACATATATAATTTTATATTTTGTGGACCACTAATATGGATTACGAAAAAGTATACATTTATACAATAATAATCAACAAATTACACATATTTCGTTCCCGTTGAAAAATTGCATGAAGGTACAAAAATCTTACCTTCTTGTACAGAAAGCTTCACATTTTCATATGACCGAAAAGGAACTTCATGAAAAGCAAGAACAAATCGGCAAACACAAAGCAATACCAATAAGCTGATAGTGTTATGCAGCCAATTTTTAATTATTGTAAACATAATAATCATCCTTTACTCAGCAATCGCACCATCAATCAACAGTAAGACAAAACAAAAAAGGAAGCTTCCAGTGATGGAATTATAAACAAGAATGCAGACAGTTGCCTATTGACTCAGAGAAAAACTGTGTTATTAATGACTACAATAGCATGTGTCTGTA